TCGCCTAGCATGCGTGCGGCCCGGGTTCGATCCTCAGCACCACAAACAAACAAAGATGTTGTGTCCGCCAAAAACTAAATAAATAAATATTAAAAATTCTCTCTCTCTCTCTCTCCTCTCTCACTCTCTCTTTAAAAAAAAAAAAATAGAAGGTATGACTTGGAGGCCATGAATATTACAGGTTTGCCAAGCTATCAGAAGAGAAAACGTAATCACTGGCGTGAGACAAGAAGAATCTGGGTATTCCCAGAGAGAAGTGGAAAAGCAAAGGCAAGAAGATTCTAGAAAGCTGGGCTCCATGTGATGCTAATCCCAGAACATCAATCACTCATTCATGATTATTTCTAACTGCTTACTATGCATCTCCACTAAATATCCCCCAATCACCTCAAACTCAAAATGTCCATTAAAATGGAACCTGTATTATAGCTGCTGCATCACCTGCACTGTCTCTGGGCTTGCCAGCCACTCCCAGCATCCACTCAGCCCTGTCACCTCTGCCTCCTTCCACATCTCCTACCTGCTTCCCCTCTTTCTCCCCATTGATATTGCTTTAGTTCTGGCAGGTTTCTTCTTTCTTAAATTTCATGCTATAAACAGACACTGAGTGAGGATTAGTTGTATTCTACACCAACCAGACCATTTGCTGATTTGTGTGCGAGTCTGGACAATCCAGAATGTACTGATATTACACTGTTTTATGTTCTTAGGGCAAAGGTGGGGTTGTTTCTCTAAGAGAATAGAACCCTCCTCACCATCAAGCACAAGGGAAGAAGGAACAGGACATAAGATAAGGCTGGAGTCAGCCTCATGGTTCCCTCTCTCTCTCTCTCTCTCTGGGATCTATGTGTGCTGGAGCTTGGATCCCAGGCAGGGCAGACATGGTTGAAGTTCCTCTCACTGCAAGGAAGGGAACTGAGCCTTTGAGGTGACGGGGGGGGGGGGGGTCCTCTGAGGATAGGCAGGATTTGAGCCAGGGGCTCCGAGAGTGGCCATGTGTCTGAAGTTGCACCTTTTCCATGCTGAGCTGTGCTTCTGTTTTTCCTGAACTTTGACTACAGACATCTCTCAGCTCTCACTGTGGGGAGCTGTGGGAAGGACCGGTGCTCCAAACCAGCCCAAGGCAGGACCAAAGAAAGCAGTACTTGAAGTAAGCTTGTCTTGAGGCATCAGGGCAGATTGGTAATGATGGTCCATGGAAATCTGGGACCAAAGGGACAGTTCAGGAGCAAAGAAGTGGCCAGAGCAGATCTGCAGAACTTCTGAGTTTTACTGAGGATTTCCAGAAATATGTGGAATGGGATCTCAGTAAATCTGACTTCTTGCATTTGAATGAGACGGAAGTTCAAGTCATTCTGATCAGGTAAGAGCTCACATACAGGTCACACATGTGTCTAGGAAGTTCTATGCTAAATATACAACATCTAGGGCACTCTGCATGCTCCAAGTTTTAGCAGCTAGAAACAAAATCCACTTGAAGATAGAGGATTCTGCCTCTTAAAGAGCTTGTGGATCCCAGGGCTCATGTCTCAGCTTCCTCTAGGAGGCACCCAGTCAGATAGGAGTTGGTGACAGGGGTACCCTTACCTAATGTTCACTGGCTACAAGCTCAGGAGTTATATTTCTTGAGGTCTGGGGTGGCATGGCTTCTGCTAAGACAAGAGAGAGGAGAGTGGGGTATGGGAGGGGACACAGAAGGGGACATCATTAAATATTTTATTTATTTATTGGGGGGGTACCAGGCATTGAACTCAGGGGCACTCAGCCACTGAGCCACATCCCCAGCCTTATTTTATATTTCTTTTAGAGACAGGTTCTCACTGAGTTGCTTAGTGCCTTGCTTTTGCAGGGATTGGCTTTGAACTTGTGATCCTCTTGCCTCAGCCTCCCAAGCCATTAGGATTACAGGCATGTGTCACTGTGCCAAGCCCCACGCCTGGCTATCATTAAGCAGTTATGCAGCCAAGGGATAATGAACAGGGCCTCCACTCTTCTAGGTGGCCTCCATCAATAACTGCCCTCTTCCTTACAAAGTCAAGGAGGTCCATCAATTATCTCCCCATTCTCAGAGAAGGTAGAGAGCAATCACTTAAAAGAACAGAAACTTAGGATGCCTTTGGTTCCAGCACTGCCACTTATAGTAGCTATAAAGAACACAGACTAGAGAAACAAAATTAAAAATTTTCCTTAAAATACGACTTACAAGCAACTAAAGACTGAGATTTCTAAATCATTGGTATAAAGGTTCTGATGCAGGGAAGGCTCCAGGCCACCAAAGATTGGGATGGGCTGGGAACCCTAGATCCATGTCACACAGCAAGGACTGAGATGAGCCCAGGACTGACGTTTTCCTTTACCTGTTCTGGCCAAGGGCATCATACCAGCTTCTCAGTGGGTAAAGAGCTGAGACACAGGAGACACATACTATTTGCAGTTTACAGTTACACAAGACACTGTGTCTGTGTAGGGCAGTAAAAATAACCCATCCACTTGCTAAGGGGTCTGCTATGTGATAAAAGTTGGGGTGGGAGGATCAGAATATACATGAACAGGAAACTCTACTGAAGTCTGGAATAAACTGCTCTTGATGACCAGCGCTACCATGGCCTCAAAAGCCATTGGTGACCCCGCAGTGCATTAGGCCATTTCCTCTGACACATGGAGGGTGACGCATTCAGGGTACCAGAAGAAGGGTCATCACGTGAACACACATCACCAGCTGTCCCCTTGACACCTCAAACATAGAGGGTGCTTTTGTTGATCAGGTGCAGCATCTATACAGTTAACAGAATCCAAACAGTGTGTCTCAGAAATTTAGGGTTAATTCTTAAGGTATTGTTGTTCTACAGTAGTTTCTTGTTAGTTCTTAGTAACAATTGGCTCTTTCTAAGAGGGTCTGGGTAACTCAGAGCCTTTGAAACACAGAATGAGAAAATAGTAATCCTCAAATCCCTCAAGTGGGACGACGTGCTTCATTCAGTTCTTCCCCGCCGGCCACACATGACCTGTACCTTGATCACGTGTTTCCAAGCCTGTGTTCCCCCCTCCAAACTTCCTCCTTGGCTAGTAGGTGTGATGTGATGGAGAAGGCACCAGGCTTGGTCTGAACCATAGATGGCAGGAATCGCCATCCAGAGTGACACTGAAAACATGGAAACTCCTTCCTGGGATGCCTCAGACTTTCACACGCTCCCAAGCCTGAGCTCACGCACTCTGGCAAAGGTGATGGAGGACAGAGTCAAGGGCCACTTTCTCGCAGGCCCTCTTCTCAGTCCTGGTCAGGATGCCTCCCAGCAATATGAGCCCATAGGGGAATGGGTGGGAACAGTGGGGTGGAACGCGGGAGGAGAGCAGAAGTTCAGGGTGCAAAAGAGACACACAGCGAGAGCTTATAACATGGCCTCATTTCTGTCATTAAGTCACAGACTAGAGAGGCTCCAGCCTTGGGGACAAGATGTGCAGGCCCTCCTCTTCCCCAATTATCAGAGAGAATGAAATTCAGGGAAGGTCCTGGTTTGAGAAAGGAAGGAACAAAGTCAAAGTGTAGAACAACCTATGTTCTGTAGGTAAGTGGGTGTCTGTGGTCAGTGTCCCAGCCCAGCCTAGCCTGACACGTCCTACATTCTTGCAGATCATGTAGGATTGGCTCTCTTCTCATGCAGCAACCCCAATTCACCAAGGCCACCTCCTCAGTCCATGCCCCACCCACAAAGCACAGAACAAGGGCCCCCACTGGGTCACACCTGAGCAAGGGCTCAGCTTCTCTTCCTAGAACTGTCATAGGTCCTCTTCTCCCAGAGTCCCTGCTGGCTTGTCCTGCCTACACACCTGAGAGCAGGAAGTTTAATTTAATATCTTCCCAAAGGTTACCCAGAAGCCAAAAATCCAGATCTCTTGCCTTTTTGTGCTGAAGGGGAAAAAAAAAATCATATCTTTACCCCCCGACCCCAAGTCAGAACTATTCTTATCACAAATGTCCTTGGCCTTTGGCTGATTCAGGAAAATGCACTATATATCACTGCATTTTAAAATTTTTCCTCAAATTTTTCCAAATGGCACTGGGAACACTTTCGGATCCAACTCTTCTGGCTCCTCATCACCTTCCTGGTCTAGAGGCTGACCTCACAAGAGCCAGGTGAGCAGGTGGCTTATGAGCGAGCCTTCAACAAGTCCCCATATTTTTAAGAAGATCTAGTTGAAGACTAAAGTCAGAGTGGGAATCACAGGCTTGCAGCTGAGGTCAGGGGAACCCAGTGAAGGACCGGAAGCCCATAATCCCATATTCATCTTCACGGCTCAGGAGAGGGCAGAACAGGGCAGAGGAGAGAACAGGGCATCAAAAAGGACAGGAGGAGAAAGACCTGCTACAGTGGGGTCCGAAAGCCAGGGCACCCTTGCTGTGCTCTGGGCCAGCTCTCTCCACAGGGAGGGAAGTTCTGCCCAGCTCCGTTTCCCTGGAAGAGTGGAGGAACTGCAGTGTTCTGATTCAAAGGAAGGAGAGAGGGAAGGAGGGAAGGAGGGGAAGGAAAGAAAGGGAAAGAAACAGAGAGAGAGATGAAGGAAGGAAGGAAGGGAGGGAGGGAGGGAGGGAGGGAGGGAGGGAAGGAAGAAAAGAAACACCAGGGGCTTTAGACAGGCTTCCTCAATGCCAAATGGCCTTCTGATGTGTGGTTTAATCAGGACAAATGGGCCCTTCCTGCAGGGACCTGGTCCTGACATTAGCTCGCTTCTCTGCTGAGCTCGTTTTACGAAAGGCCCAGGCAGTGAGCCTTCGAGAACTAATGGCCGACTTTATAACAGAAGCTGGAGGCGGAGAAACGTCTTAAAGAAGGGAGGCGGTAAAGATGGGGAATGTGGACCTTCTCGGGGCCCTGCCCACAGGGCTGTCCTTCCATCTGACACCCTGGCAAAGCCACATGTTGCGTCTCCTGGTGGGCCTGGGTTAAGAGACCCCTAAGCAGGAGAAAAGCACCCATCTACAGTGGGGCAGCGGAACTTACCTCCATCCGTAGTGGAGAAGCTCTGTGGAAACAAAAGCAGGACAGAGCATTACTACGCATGCGGGGTGCGTCCCTCAGCCCTCAGCCACTCCTTCCCAGGCCCTGGCTCAGAATGTGACTGTGGCAGGCGAACCCCATGCTCTCTTTTCTTCTGAGCAATTATCCACAAAACTAAGGGAATTGTTAAGGTTTATCATCACCAACTTTTGTTTGTTTTGGGTACTCGGATTGAACCCAAGGGCACATTACATCCTCAGCCCTTTTTATTTTTTATCATGAGACAGGGTCTCACTAAGTGGCCTAGGCTGGCCTTGAACTCGAAGTCCTCCTGCCACAGCCTCCTGAATCTCTGGGTTTACAGGCATGTGCCACCACGCCCCACTCCATCCCCATCTTAGACCAAATTTTGATCAATTCATTATCATATTGATTTTATTAATGATCTAGAAAATATCCTGGGTTGTGCTGAAGAAGTGATATTAGAAAATCTCATCTTAAAATCCATTTCATTAGTTTGGTTGTCTCTCACTGAGGTACTGCGGAAACAGGAGGGACAGAATGGAGGGAAGGTCCTGAGATACTCAGGGCCCACCGGCCTTCTGGATTCTCTGCTCTTTCCTACACAACGTCATTTGTTTTTATGTACAGTTAGATTTCACTCTGTATTTGAAATTCATGTCCATTTGATAACAGTACTGCCTCTGGCCCTTTTATAAAGGAGAGACTCCAGAAGCAAAGCCCCAGGGACAGTGTTTAATCTGCTGAGCAGGATTTGGTTTTAGAGTTCTGGAGTCCAATAGGGGAAGATTTTAAGGCATTAGGCAGAAAAAGGTTTGGACAGCAGGTCGACGGGGTTAATTCATGACTCTCTTCAAGGTCTCCCAGCAGACCACGTGGTGCACGCCCAAAGATAGGCAGGCCACTCAGCTTTAGGGATGGCATGTGATCCTCACACCCTTGTCCCTCATTTCACAGAGTGTGTGGCTCTGACTTTTCAACACCCACTGGTCTCTTTGGTGACATCTTCCTAGGGCTTGCTTCCCCATGGACAGGACTTAGAGAAATCATATTTGGTTTCTTCACCTTCTGAAAGTCCTTGAAGGATTTTTCTGTCTCTTTTAGCTTCTCCAGGATGATTTGCTCTTTGGCAGATATCTGGGATTCTTCACTTTCGAGCGCTTGGATTTCCTGCTCCAGCCTGGAAGACAAACAAACAGAGGACATGTTGCTTTATTGTCCTGCCGTCCACGGACAAGAGAGCAGCTCCGTCCTTCCTGTGGGGTGACGTGGACCTTCCTAGCAGTCTTTACATTATGCTGAGGAGCCAGGCCAAGGTTTTCTATTACAGAGTGCTCTGTTTCCAGTTTTGTCACTGGGTAGATATTGGTTAAAGGAACACAACCCAGGGCTACCTCCACAAGTTCAAAGTCATTACTGTGCAATGTGCTTTGGTAGCTCCCCTCCAGCCCAACTCCTGGGCATGCTTCTTATTTGTAGATGGACAATGTTTACAGAGCATAATATCTGAAGGAAGTAGCTTCATATTCTAGTGATTTCAAAATAACTGCCCTGCTCTCAGGATGGCCAAAAGGTGAAGGGTCAGTCTTGCTCAAAGGAAATAACACTGTTAAGAAATGGCTGGTGCCCAAAACCCATGGAAGCCTGCTGTCCTCTCCCTTAGTGGTACAGCTTTTATTGCCAAAAAGAAGGAAGATGGAAGGGACAGATGTAACTGCCCCCCTACGTTTCTGGAACTTTCCTTGTTTTTCACGCAGCCTCCTATATATTTTCCAAAAGGGAAATTTCAGCACTTCCAGGAGACTCTGAGAATATTACAGAAGAGCAGCTACAGCCATGATTTGGGGGAAGTCTCAGCAACCGTGTTCTTCCAGTGAAATGATAAGAATAATCATTAGCTTTTAGTGAGAACTTATTCTGTGCCAAGAGCTAAGGAAGCACATGGGCTACTTTATTTGACCTTCCCAATGACCCTAAGAGTAGAGAATCCCATTTTGCATATGAGATCAATAAGGCTTGGCAAAATTAAGTAACCAGTTTGTTGATACAGAGCCTTGACCCAAGGAGATTCACCCCAAGAAAGTAATGTCACCCTCCTTTGAATGTTTCTCAAGAGTATTATTTTGGTTTATCAGGTATATATTTTTTAAATGAAATCTATTGTATATTAGAGCATGGTTTTCAACTGAGGTGGCTTTGTCCCCTAGAGGAGATGTGGCAATGTCTAGAGATATTTTGGTTGCTCATAACCCAAGAGGAGTAGGACTGTCGTTACTGGCATCTAATGAGAAGCCAGGGATGCTGCTAAATATCCTGCCATTCACAGGACAGTCCCCCATGAGGAAGGATTATCTAGCCCCCCCCAATAGTAACTACATTATTAACTTCCCCATCTATACTACAATACACCAAGGGGAGATCACAAACACTCTGTATGCATGTGTCAAATGAATAAAAAAGAAGCCAAACCAAATTACACAAAGGTATGGCCTAGCCAGGACAAGACTGTGGGAATTTCTGAGATAGGGTGAACCTTCAGCAAGCTGGAGAGGCCAGGGTGTGGGCTGAGATTCGCACTGAATCTAGAGGCGGGAGGAGCCTGTACACAGAGGTATAACTCTCTACACAGAGGTATAACACTCCTTTGCTATTCCGAATGTTCAGCAAGATCTTCTACACACGCCTGTGTGAACTATTTTGAAGAGAACCTAGAAAAGGGATGTGAGTGTTGAACAGGGAGAATACAAGACAATCAAAGACCCATAAATTGGCCTAATTCAATGGGTGGAGCAGCTCTAAGCTAGAGGTCTCCTGAACAGCCTGGATGACACTACTGCAGGTGAATTCTGAGCAGATTTTATTGAAATCTCAAAGGGCAGAGCACTTCAGCAAACATTTGGGATGTGCAGGTTATATTATTCTCAAAAATATTCCTTCTCTTCCCCTGTGCCTCTTTGGGAAAAGTACATATTTCCCTGATTCATTGGTGCTAGCCTCATGGTGGGGGACACATTTCCCTCTTGACTTTGGGCTCAGCCACGTGACTTGCTGTAGCCAATGAGATGATAGCAGACATGACCCAGAGGCTTGGCTGGGCTTTCCAAGTTTGACCCCTTGTACCTTTTACTAGCACCAAGAAAAGACCTTCTCTGGGCCACTGCTTCCTCTTCAGCCCAGGCCTCAAAAAGAACACACATGGAGCAGACCTGAGCTCAGGCAAGTGCAGGCAGGACTGACCATAAGTCAGCCACTTGGCAGAGCCCAGCCTGGATCAGCAAATACCCAGCCTGCTCAAAGAAGTGTCAGCAAGAACAAACGACTTTCAATTTAAGCCAATGAACTTAAGGGAGTTTTTTATATAGCATTATTATGGTAACCATTCACTGAGACAGGACAAATGTGTGTATGTATATTCCAATGATATAGATCAATCATATGTATAATATGTGTGTGTTTTTATAGCATGTGCATATTTATATGCCCAATAACATCTGAAGCTACAAGATTAGAAAGAACATAAACTACCCTGTCCCCCTACTCCCAAATCCTCAGAGAAATCTGGAAGGAAACAGGGCACTCCTTCATGAGGATCAGGACTGAGAAAACAGGAAAATATCAGTGGTAGTTGTCTCCGGGTAATAGGATTATAGATGATCTTAGTTTTGTTTTTATAATTTTCACAGTGAAAAATTCACATATTACTTAACTAATCAGTTGTTTCACTTACACAAAAATACCTGCTGAGGCCTCATCCTGAGAGCTTCTCTGTTTGAAGTGAAGAGGTTAAATGGCACCCCCTAACATCTATTTAAATTCAAAACCAACATTTACTGAGCTTATTTGGCTGCTGTACAGAACTGCAGAGGATTCTAAAACAAACAAGAGACAGTTAAAAATGGCTGACAAAAAAAAATGGCTGTCTCCAAGTAACTCACTTCCGGTGCCACAGCCCCAAGTGGTTAAGACTTCCCTGGGACCCGATGCCCACTGGCTGGCCTCCCTGCCGCCACAGCCTGCCCCTGCCCTATGGGTTTCAGGGCACTGGGCTATACAGTTCAGGCCCTGAAGATTTGGGCCGTGATACTGTGCTGCGTAACTGAGAAGGAAGGAGGGGGTGAAACCAAACCCTGGTGATAACAACTGAGTTTCGCCCTAAAGGGGATGACTGAGGGAAACAGGCCGCCTATGCAAGTCTCAGGAGGTCAGATCCAAGGAGCAGATTTTCCTACAAATGCACAGGTGGCCTCGGGCCAGGGTCTGGGAGCTCTGGATAGCCCAGGCCATGATGTTTCTCAGGAAAATTGAGTCTTGGGGCTGAGGAGCCTCCCAAGAGACAGCGTCATGGGGTTAATAACTGTCATCCCAGCCGGGCTGGACATGCTGCTGCCTGGTAGTCTCATGTCTGAAACCTAATGCAGTCTTCTCTGGAGGTGCCAAATAGATATGGCTGAGCTAAAAATAAAGAACGGGCAGGAAGTGTAATTTATACGTAAGGTTAATGCAGGCTCTGTGGCCTGTGACAGGTGTACCAACAGTCTCTGACCGGCTGTGCTCAGTTTCTTCTGAGCAAACAGTAGATTGTAATAAACTGTAAGGAAAGATGACATACTGCAGCTGCGGAGGTTTAATTTACTGGAGATGAGTTTCCCTTCGGGGTCAAATGGTCTTATAAAATGTCCCTAACCGCCACAGAACATTGTTACAGGAAAAATACAAAGGGCCTCTGGCTCCATTGTTCTCTATTCAAAACTTATTCTCATATTCATCCACTTTATGCCAACACTTTCTTTGCATCAGACTCTGCAGAGCATCAGGGACAGAGAGAAAAATCAAACACAGTCACATAAACACATAAATTACACTACAACCCAAAAAGATGGTACCAGGGAAGAATGATGAGTTGTGGAATCGGCAGTTCTGCCTAGACCCGTGTGGTAGAAACTCCAAGTAGTGTGCCCTGTATCTCTTCTCCCCTTTTTTTACACTAACAGAATCTGTATTTTGCTGGGGATGGCAATGAGCCCAGCTTCTTCTGAAGATAAAGACAGCCATGGCACAGAGCTGGCTAATGAGATATAAGTAAAATTGTTAGGAGGGATTACTGAGAAAGCTCTATAAAGAAAGGAAGAGTTTATGTAAGTGGCAAGAACCTTTGCTCTTTCCTTTCTTCCTGCCTGCTGCAGGGACCTCATGCTAAAGAGATGTATTAGTTTCTAGTTGCTGCTAGAACACCCACCACAAAATTGAATAAATATATTCACAAAATGAATATATTATATTACACTTGTGCAAGTCAGTCTGACATGGGGGTCACTAGGCTACAGTGAAGGGGTTGGCAGAGTTGTGTCCCTTTCTGGAGGCTCTCAGAGAAAGTCACTTCCTTGCCTTTTTTCCAGATCCCTGAGGCCATTCATACTCCTTGCCTCAGTCTTCTTCCATCTTTGAAGCCAACATGCTGCATCTCTTTGAGCATTCTTCTATTGTCACCTCACCCTCTGACATTCCTGTTCTGCCTCCCTTCTCTACTTCTAAAGATTCCTGTTATTACAACAGGCTCGTCCAGACAACCCAGGATAATCATCTCCATTTATTTACTTAACAGTACTGAGGATTGAACTCAGGACCTTGCACATGTTAAGCAAGCAATCTATTACAGAGCTATGTCCCCAGCCCTTCATCTCCCTATTTTAAAGTCAGCTATTTCGAAACTTTGCTATGGTTTGAATGTGGTTTGAGTACATCCCCCAAAGTTTCTTGTGCTAGAAGCTTGGCTCTCAGTGTGGCAATGTTGAAGTGGTGAGACCTTTAAGAGGTGGAGCCTAGTGGAAAGTGGTTAGGTCACTGGGGGAACTGCCCTCAAAAGAGATTAATGTAGTTTTCAAGGGATTGCAGTTAGTTCCTGCAAGAGCAGGTTGTTATAAAAAGAGCAAAATGGCCCATGAGTTCCTTTTGCTTCTTCTCTTATCATGGGATCTCTGTCTCTTGCACTTTCTGTCACATGATGCAATCTACCATAATGTGATATAGCTAAGGAGGCCCTCACCAGAGGCTGAACTGATGGAGCTGTCTGATGATGGACTTTCGACCTCCAAAACTGTGAGCTAAATAAACCTCATTTTTTTCCATAAAGTGTCCAGTCTCATGGATTTTCTTATAGCAACAGAAAGCATACTAATACAA